CGTGACTAACCGAGCAACTAGCTAAGCAAGATCAGCCACGTGTCGTGCTTTAAGAGGTCTTCACCTTAGCCAAATAAGTCTTGCCACAAGTCACAACTAGAGGCAATGTCAAGAGTCCCACATTGGAAGACTGCAAGAGGTGGAGACTCCCCTTCACCTAGAAAAGAAGACCACTCCCCACTTAAAAAAGGGTCTTGAGCCTTGGATCTTGGACCTTGGGCCTTGGGTCTCTCTATCTTCTTCCCTTTATCTTTGGGCATAACCCTTTGTACCATGTAAACAACTATTATTGTAATGAGAACATCCTTCTTCATGGACATAACCCATCATTCGGGTGAACCACATATATCTGTCTTCACTTACTTTACTTATGTTGACTGTCACACCCTGTTGAGGGAAATAACATACCGAAGGCCTTCACTAGTCATTAACCTGTTGAAGGTCCTCACCTTCCACTTAACCCATCGAAGACACCAATCTGCCGAAGACAGTCTCTTGCCTTACCTCCCTAAGGCATATACACATGCTGAAGGCCCTCGCCTTCACACATCATCCACCACTTCACATCTATCTAAGTTGAACTTCATTTTGGGTGTCAACAATTTAGCACTGACTGTGGGAATCGACATAAGAAGCCTTTGTCGTTCTCCCTTCCTTCAATGCCATTCAGCACCCTTCCAATCATCACCTTTTAAGCTTATTGTTTTGCACCATATGTGTAGAAGCCACCATGGGGTCTCAAGGCACCAATATGCTGAAGACATGTATTTGCTGAAACAACTCACCTTTCAGTCACTTTAAAGAGTCTCAATTTGTGGGTGGCCAAATATTCCAAATGCACCAAGGATATCACCATGCATGGCTTGCACATGACCAAGGAAAAAAATTGCTCCGATCTGAAGGATGCCCACGTGCATCCTCACCACAAGATAAGAATCGGCTTCTTACATATGAATATTGTATACAAGCATGCAATATTTAAATAATTCATTACACAATCTTATTCAACAATATGAATATTAATGTATATTAATAACATAAGCTTATGATATCCTTCATAATTAAATCCATATGGTCAATCGGTGGGTCAATATGGTAAAGTGTATGTGTGCAAAAGATCCAATTAGAGCCCAGCATGCCGATGGGCACAAGACGCTAAGGAGGCCACCACGCTATCTGAAGCCAAAATATGCGAGTGCACTTCATCCTCCAAACCAATCAATTGGCCAAATCTGAAGGAAGTTGAGGTTCCACCCCAAAACCAATTGGCAATGAGAGGAGTAGCCCAACTCCTTATAAGCCCTTACTAGGTTTCTCATATTTCCAATATAGGACCATTTACCTTCACATTCTCACACGCCGCCGCACGTGTGGCGAATTTTCAAGCCTAACATGTGGACAACACATATTGGATGACGTGGAGTACGTGTGGCCGTTGGGCTTTCACACGTGGGCTAACCTGCTCTGATACCATGAAGGAAGTTGAGGTTCCACCCCAAAACCAATTGGCATTGAGGAGAGTAGCCCAACTCCTTATAAGCCCTTGCTAGGTTTCTCATCTTTCCAATGTGGGACTCTTTACCTTCACATTCTCACAAAACCAAACAGCAACCATATGCTTTAGATTCAGAAAACCAGAAAAGCAATACGGATCGATCGGCACCCAATGCTCATCTCCAATCATTTAGCTTCATCCAATGGCTTTCAGAAGCCATATTCACCTCCAAAATTCTGCCCAGTACCGTAGGGCAACCCTTATCAACCAAACTCACAAAGGGACTTGATTCCTACAGAAGCTTCACAAAGCCCTATTAAGCCTGCCTATCGGTAGGGTATTTAGTAACCATGCTTGCTGCCAATTCTCCATCAACCCCAAAAAGCTCTAAGAGAACTTTCTCCTCAAAGCATTGAAGTACCGAAGACACCATCCTTGCTGAGACCACCACAAGGACCCCATGCTTCAAAGCTACCAGTCGATAGCCATTCTTTACCAAACTCACAGTCAAACCACCGCTCGGCACCTCCGAAGCTTCACCAAGCCTCACTGAACCTCTGCCTACAAGGCTTATCCACATGCTGAAGACGCCATACCTGCGAAACCTGCTAAACTTGAGGCTTCATGGCACCAACTCGCCGAAGCTATCACCATCAGCTCAAATATAGGACTCCCTTATTAATTCTCGAATGGGAATTTTACAATTCGCCGTTTAGCACCCCTGTGACATGCCCATCTGGAGCAAACACAAAGAAGAATAAGGGAAGAACGTGACATGCCCATCGACACCTCTCACCTCTTGGTAAATCTCTCAAGACACCCATTGTGTCATACCCGCTGAATGGCAAGTTGATAGCAGTTCTCAAAAGGCATAGCCACTCCCACCTTCTATATCACCGATCAGCAACTACTATGTGTTGACCAGAGCTTGGAGTGTGGGAGCTAAAGACCCACAAGTTTGGCAAATGAGAATGTTTGTGCTTGGCTTGGTGTTTGATATGCTTAAGTTTGGGTGTTGAGAATTTGTTGTTTGTGGCTATAGCTATGGAGATTTAAGAGTTTCAAGAGAATAAAGATGAGAGGAAAAGCTTGAGGTTTGAAGGCTATGGTGTTTATAGCTTGGGAGGAAGGAAAAGCTTGGAATTATGCTTGGTGAGGCTTTATAGAGAAGATGATGGATTTCAAGGAGAGGAGGTTATGGCTGGGGTGCTTGCAACAGCTAGGAAGGAGGTGTGATAATTGAAGAAGGGGGTTGATGGCTGCTAGGATGCTTACAGCAGCCAAATCAAGAAGTTGTTATGCTGCTCCAGCAGCTAAAGGAAGGGCTTGATGGTTGAAGAAAAATTGGTCGATGGCTGCTGTGTTGCTTGCAGCAGCCGAATGAGGGGGCTTGATGGCTCAAGAATGACTGTGATGACTGCTAGAATGCTTGCAGCAACTGAAGAAATGTGAGTTCTCATGGTTACTGGGAGGCTTGCAGCAACCAAGAGATGTTGATTTTTCTTGGGCAATGCCTCCCAATTTATAGAAGGTGAAGGCTCTCTTTGGTTCCCAATTTCTTGGGTAAAAGAAAGTGCTGGAGCTAGTCTATTTCTAACCGGTAAAAGGGAGCATTGGGACATTCTTATTTCCAACAGGTAAAGCTAGGCATTGGAAAATGACTATTTTCTACGAGTAAAAGGAAGTGTCGAAATTGGCTTGTTTCCAGTGGGTAATATGGAGTGCTGGAAAATGCTTGTTTCCAATGGGTAAAGCTAGGCATTTGGAAAATGACTATTTCCTATTGGTAAAATGAAGTGCTTGAAAAATATCTCATTTGCTCACCCACATTGGAGAATTCTAAGTAATGGGCTTGGACTTTGGTGCTCCCAAGTAGCTAGCCCAAAGTCTCCATTATCCAAGAGCTTTCGTGGGCCTTGTGGACCTCCGTAACCTTCCACACCACAATCCCTCATACAAACCCCGTAAACCACATGACTTGGGTTCATGTGAGCTTGATAGGTGATTGACATATGAAAAATGTATTATTGGCTTCACGTGGCATGGACACTATTATTTATTTAATGAATTAATTCCCAAAATACAGCTTAGATTAACGCATAACCAACATTATATGTTATATTGGGCTTTAAATGTCTTTGGGCTTCTCGTGACTTTTTCGGGCCTCAACATTTCTAAAACCATATGGGCTGATTTTTGTCTTTTAAAACAAAGCCCAAAACTTCTGCTTTTGATATGGGGTAATGTCAATTTGGGCTGGCGTGTGGAACTTAGGTCCAAACAAGAATAAAATGAATCTTCGTGTGCGTCAAACAATAAAATATAGAGCTCCGTGAATTAGTCATGTGAAATATATTTCTAACCTCCAAGAAATAGGAGGAAAAGAAAAAAGGTTCGGAGAATCAGTGGCGGAGCTAGGATTTCACATTACAGGGGGCCCTTCACAAAAATTTTAAAAATAATTCGAATAGGAGCCCTCATTAATAATTTATCCATTTATTACAATCATAATTGTCTTGAATATCATATTTAACATGATTGAATATTAATCTCATCATCTACACTATTAAAGACTCAAAATGTAATAATTTATACTTCAACAGAGAGAAGAAATACAAAAAATGTTCATAGATCCCAATAATAAGATGCCCTACTTAGACATGTAAAATAGGAGAAAGGGAAATTTATAAAGCTTAAGTTAATCAAAAGAGGAAGAGAATGAGAAAAAAAAAAACAGAGTTTTTACTCCAAGAAGCAAACATATAGCAATACATATAAGTTAAAATATGAGAAAATAAAAAATATGAGTGAGGGCCTGGGCCCACCCTGATCCTTAGGTGGCTCCGCGAGAATAATTGAATTTCAGGACAGCTTCTCAGGAGTAAAAAAATGACTAAGATCCTGGTTGTACGTTATTGAATTGATAATACAGTGACCAAGTAATTTGGCGTCATAAAATAAAGCACCACCATTTACCGTGATCCATTAGGAGTAGGCCCTCAATATGCAAATAGTTCAGGGGCAAAACCGCAGAAACCTCTCCAAGAAATTATGTAAACACAAACTTTTTATTTAAGTTTAGAACTTAAAGCCCCTCGTAGACTCGTAGTACTCAAATTGCGGGAAGTATCAAACAACATTCGTCGACGTAATTACATAGAAAATTGATTGATCTCTCTCTTTTGTCGCTGAGAGACTCAGCCAAGCTCTTCTAAGAGGTATGATTTTGGATCATCTATATATGTCTTTCTATATATCATTACGAATTCAAGGATGATCTTTCTGTATTAAATTTCTCTTTCTCATTTTCTTGTTTTTCTATTAGATATTTGTAAAACTAGTTTATGCTTGCGTTTGGACAAAAGGACGTTTTAAGAATGCAAAGGAACTTGATGTGCAATAATATTAAAAGAAAAGTTTAAAAGTACTAGAATTTGTCAAATTCTTCCTTGAAAAAGAAAAAAGGAGTGGTTCGAAGCCGAAGTGACAGAATATATTTTGTAAGATGTTGGAAGAGATGGTGTTGCATATCCTATCAAGATTGCCTTCAAAATCTCTAATGCGATTCAAGTGCGTCTGTAAATCGTGGTATACAGTGATCAACAATCCCATGTTTGTAGCAAGGCACCTCACCAATTCGATGCACAACAAACTGTCCACTTGCATCCTTTTCAAACATTTTGTCCAGAGCGACACTAACACTGGTGAGAAGGAACTTAGATTCTCGTTCCTTTATCTTTGCAACGATTATATTGATGATAAGCCTAACGTCAATACTTTCGTTGAGGACATCAAATTTCCACTTTCTACGGGACAATTTATTGGGCTCAAGCTTGTAGAGTCTGTAAGTATTAGAGGCCATTGTGATGGGATAGTTTGTTTATGTGACTGTGGTGGCAACATTATTTTATGCAATCCAGCAATCAAGGAACTCAAACTTCTTCCGAAATCATGCCTTCCAAATTGGGGGTACTCTAATGTGAGTATTGGATATGATCCCAAATCTAAAGATTACAAAGTTCAGAGAATTTCATGTGATGGTGAGGAAATTTATGGTGACCGTCTTGTTTTTTTTCCTCCTAGAGTTGAAATATACAATCTCAGTACTGATACTTGGCGAGAGATCAAAAGTAATTGTTTACAAACAGAAGCAACTTTCTTATGGCCCGAAGATTTCGCAGTGTATTGGAAAGGAATATGTTATTGGTTGGGGGGGTATGAGCAACCGAAAGAATTCGAGTCTTACTTTGATAGACTTGAGGATGAGAAAAAGAAGACAGTGGTCTTTTTGTTTGACACGGGGGATGAGGTATTTCATAGTATATTACTTCCAGATTGCGTATATGAGCCACCAGAAGAATATCGTTATGATATGAGCGTTGTACTGTGGAATGAATCCGTCGCTCTGTTCGGCTTATAGAGTCCAGATGCATATGCTGAATCCTATGGAATATGTTATGGGTAGACGTTAAAAGGGTATTGAGACTTTGGAAAAGTGACGAGGTTCTTGTGGTTACTAAATGTGAAGATATAGTATCTTACAACTTTGGTACCGATAAGGCTAAAAGTATTCCAATACATATGAATACTTTAGTTCCGGTGATGGGAGGCAACGAGCTCGAGAGTGTAGAAAAATAATTCTAGCAATATAGTTTCTCACTTTTGCCATTGCCACAACCGAAGTTGTACTATGCCATATATGAAACTATGAAATCTGTGTTTGAGCTGGTGCTTGCTTTGATTCATGTGTTTGAAATTAAAATCCATCAATTATATTTAATGCCAATACTAACAATCAGATATGAAAACGAACGGATTTTGATAAATTACACTCACACATTTTGAGATACTATATCTCTCAAGTTTAACACATTCAATGCCCCAAACGGTGTCAAGGGAAAAAAACACATAAAATCTTGGTAAATTGATCACAATTAAAAACGGCCGGTTAATACGATCAAACATTCATTTCTTTAAGGATTAACGATCACACATTGGATTTAAGTTTAGTTGAGGGAGTTGTTTAGAAGAAAATTGACAAAGCCATGCATGAAGTCTGAGCTGAAGAAAAGGGCATGATATGTGTGGGCTTTCAATTTCGCCCTGATTAGTAAGGCAAATAATTTCCACACTTAATAATGGGATTAAACTTGTGGCAATTAGCAACCAGTAATTAAAACCGCTAACCTCGGCCTGCTCCAAACAAATTGCTGAAAACTCACAGCCTCCTCTGCCATCTCCACATTTTTCCACTGCGTCGCCCTCTAGTCAGAAAGAAACCACAACCCTGTCCATCGGAAACCGCCATTAATGCGTGTCCCCGTTGGTAAGTTTATTCTTTCTCCATTTCATATATATACTTCATCAACTTGAATAGTGAATACTCTTCTTCTTCTTCTTCTCTTCTTGTTCCAGAAAAAAAAGATGAGCAGGAAAAAATGCACAGGTACGCGGTCTGGGCCATACCACCCGATGACGTGGTCCGCAGGATGAAGAAGGGGATAGAGGGCCTCCGGGCCGAGTTTGGTGGGCCCCAGATCAAGCCCCACATCACCATTGTGGGGTCCATCCTTTTGAGCCATGAAAGAGTAGTCGAAGGCTTCACGGAGGCTTGTGAAAGTTTCCAGCAGCACAGTTTTAAAGTTGGTCATGTGGCTACTCGAAAATTCTTTTGCCAGTGTGTTTCGTTCTTCATCCATCCAGTATGTCTAAAAGCCAGCTGAGATTTGATTAGGGTTCAAACAATGACAATGAGATTAGGGTTCAAAGAATAACGTAAACTAACTTGCAATTTAATGTAATTAAGGTGGTTAATTTAAGAATATAGTATTTATTTTCTCAGAATCTGGAGGATACTCGACATTTCTTTTCGATTCTCGGTACCTTTAGCTGTAAGTTATTTACTCAATGTTTGTTTAAAATAAATTTTCCATCTTCTTTTTGTAGATTTTTTGTCATGGGTTTGTTGAGGATTTAGAGAATGAAGATTGGAATTTTAGATTGTGAACTAATGCTACTACTTTGTCCGCAAAATTGCAGCAGGTTGTCATGAACCTCATATGCGAACCTGGCAGAGGAAGAAAGGATAAGATCTCAAGAAAAAGTTACAATTTTGGATGAGAGCATTGCTAACCTCAGCTTCCCAATAAATCGTTTTGAATTGTACAAACGTCTTGAATACACCATCCCACTTTTTCGACGAGGGCAGAGCCACCCTTGGACTATAGTGGGCTAGGCTACCAGTTCAGTTCAAATGTTGAAAAAAATTAAGAGTTAAGTGCTAATTGTTAGTAAGTTCTCCCCATTATTGAAACAATTAATCTACTTAGTTCCAGAAAATCCTTAAATGATATATATATATGTTTTATTGTAAGATGAAAGGCTAAAATCTCTCACAAATTTGTCTCTCATATGTGTATAATATATACGGTACCTATTCATCCAAGGAAGTGTTGATCCAGTTTACTAATTTTGTCTCACTTGTTTTGGCCGCCACGCACTAATTAATCCACTAATGGAGCACCCTCACATGACCTCTCAAAACTAATGGAGCTCCAAGTGCGAATATAAAACCAAAAATATAAGGTAAAGGGCCCACCTGCAAATTCTATATTGAAGGTCCAATGAACTTGTATAAACTATAGACAAACAAACATTGGAAGCTATATCAACATGCCTCTCACAGATTGTGCTCACAAACATTGGAAGAAATTCAAAGATGCAAAGGCCGAAAGTACAAAAACCCTATTACTCAACACACCCTACCACAATATAGGAAATATAATACTTGCTCAACAGACCTTAGCACATAAATTCAAAATTTTCTTATTTCTTTAAAACTTAAAAAAGTCGTACAAATTCGGTAAATAAAATATATCACAATTGACCTCACAGAACAACAACTTTATTTACAATATCAATAATGTTAACGGCACCAACTGCGACAAATTTCAAGTTTTATAATAACTAAGGTAGCTAATATATATTACGACAGACCTTGTTACAAATTAGGGGTCAAGAAAGTTTAAAATGAATAATAGATGCGTAATGCGATAGATTCATACAGAAAACTAAACAAGAATGTAGAGGTCACGTCCTCATGGTCACCATCATTGGTGATGACTGAGGACCCAAGAACATTATCCACGTGTACTATGTTGCTATCATGCGCCGGTCTATGTTTCTGGCGCACTTGGTCGTCCAACTTTGAAGGTTTCAACAAAACTGAGATCTACATGGCACTGCGAGAAAAATTTAGGGGGAAGTAGAAAAATAGAAAAAAAGATAAAGAAACATTCAAGCCAAAAACTTGCCAACCCATCTCTATCTATCCCATCATTCGCTTTCTTCCTCAATTTCCTTTTGTTGCTTCTCCTTGGAATCCAAAGCTTTAATCTTACCTCCTTATCAGTTGGCCATCTCTGTCTGTTCTCATTTTCTGTTTTTTTCTTTTTCAACTTTTGCTGCCGATAAATTATTGGCTTTCCTTTATTGACCTACTTCATCTTTCTTCTTCTTCTATCCATAAAGTTGAGTTCTTGATTAATCTCTCTGGATTTCGAAGCTACCCATTTCCCAAATCTCTCTCGTTCTTCTCCAATTTTTGACAATTTCAATCTGGGTTCTTTGGAGATTTGGTGCATCGTTTGGAGCAGAAGAGGCAGAGGAGATGATGATGATGACAATGGAGGGGATGATGGATAAGGGTGTATTGGATGATATAATAAGGAGGCTATTGGAAGGCAAAGGAGGAAAACAAGTGCAGCTATCAGAGGCAGAGATCCGTCAACTTTGCGTCAACGCCCGCCAAATCTTCCTTTCTCAGCCTAATCTTCTTGAGGTGCGAGCTCCGGTTCGCATATGTGGTCAGCTCTCTCATCTTCTCTCTCTCTCTCACAGTATTTTTCATGATCATGATGGTGATTTGAATTGTCCAATTACCAGGATCATTTATTCTTTTGTGCTTTCATGCTTCTGGATGATTATGTAAAAGATTGGGATTGAATAAGAATGGTGTCGGAATTGATAATTGGATTAAATTGGGATGTAACAATTTTGCGTTTCTCATGCTCTGTATTGGATAATGAACTTTTGGAGTATTCTGTTTGAATTTTGAGAAAATACGATCGTTCTTATGCTATGTTCATTAGATGAATTGGACATCTATTTGAGTGATCGACATGTGGCATTGTATGTCATTTTGTTCATTAGATGCAATTTCTGTCTAATAATGTTCATTTTCTGCTCAACAATGAACATGAAAGGCAAAGAAATAACTTTATTTCGTAATGGCCAGTTTCTTTTTTTTTTTACTTTGTAAAAGGATTTGAAAACAACTTGATTTGGATGTTCCTTTGCTGCATTTTGGGTACTTGGTACCATTTTGTTTTCTTGGTCCTCTTGTTGTACGTCATGGGACAGTGTACTTTGTAAAAGGATTTGAAAACAACTTGATTTGGATGCTCCTTTGCTGCATTTTGAGTACTTGGTACCATTTTGTTTTCTTGGTCCTCTTGTTGTACATCATGGGACAGTGTATCAATGATGCTCTAATGTAGCTTACATCAAATACAGGGCAGAAATGATAGTTGAAAGAAAACGTAGTACAATTATCTCCTTATATTTCTCTGTGTCCTTGGTGTTCCTAATATTGCAGGCGTCTTACAGGTGATATACATGGACAATACCAAGACCTGCTAAGGCTATTTGAATATGGTGGTTACCCTCCATCTGCAACCTACCTGTTTCTTGGAGATTATGTGGATCGAGGCAAGCAAAGTTTGGAGACAATATGTTTGCTTCTGGCCTATAAAATAAGATATCCTGACAAAATCTTCCTTTTGAGAGGAAACCATGAAGATGCAAAGATTAATCGAATATACGGGTTCTATGATGAGTGTAAAAGGAGGTTTAATGTTAGGCTTTGGAAAATATTTACTGAGTGCTTTAATTGTTTGCCTGTCGCTGCACTTATTGATGAGAAGATACTTTGTATGCATGGGGGGCTGTCACCAGAGTTGGAAAATTTGGATCAAATAAAGGAACTTCAAAGGCCAACTGACATTCCAGATAATGGTCTTTTATGCGATCTGCTTTGGTCTGATCCTGATGCTAGGATTGAGGGCTGGGCAGAGAGTGATCGAGGTGTTTCCTGCACTTTTGGAGCTGATAAAGTTATTGAGTTTTTAGATAAGAATGAACTTGATCTCATTTGCCGGGGTCATCAGGTAATCCTATTTCTATTTGAGGAACTTGAATCCAAGTTACAATACAAATGACATAACTGTATATATGTGTGGCCAAGATAAGCCTCCCCTTCTTTCTCCTTTCCCCTATTAGTTTTATAAATGACGTCCACTGTGTTTTGTTCTAGTAAAAACATTGCAGGCATTACCTCTAGGCGTCCTTATGTGCACAGCC